AGTTTGAACGGCTCGAGTTCCAGAAACCACTTACATTTTTGTATTTCTAAGCCACGATTGTTTCATTTACGTGCAGCTCTCACTTCATCTTTCAGAAAGTGGTGTATGTGCTGTTCATGTGGAAAGTAGGACTGCAAATTACTTCTTGAATTTGCAAATGTTATTGTAGTATAAATTTACTTGATAACGGCATTCGTGTGAATCCGCATGTTGCTCTGGAATGGCATACAATAAATATATCAAATTATTACATGATATCTTCATTCTTTCTGACAGTATTGTATTCTCAATCAGCGCAACCAAAAACGCTAGAATAAGTCAAATTTGTTTTATTGAACTTTGCAAATCAGTGTGAGCATGTTCAAAACAATCTAATTCGATACATTTTCAACACAGCAATACGTAATGCAAGTGTTTGATTTGCAAATATTCACATGCTTTTTAAGAAGATCCCAACTGAGAAAAAAACAGATTTCTTTTTTTTAGAGTAAGTCACCTTGAAAATTTACTAGTACACGAAATATTATGTGCAAAGTCTTTCATGCCTTCTTGGTATGGGACTCAATGAAAAAAATCCGCCCGTTAAATCAATTTTTTTTCTACATTACACCATGCTATCTTTGAAAATTGTAAGCTTTTATTCATGTATGACAAAGCAGCTACTCTCCTTTACATATGTACAAGACGATCCCATTCTGTTAATGATTAAAATCAAAAATATTGCTCTGGCTTTGTTCTCTCTCAGCCCACGATGAGATCAGGGCGTTCAGGTGGAGCAGGAGACAAGTAGGACTTATCGTGTACATTGTACTTGAAGATTCTGAAATTAGCGCCATCTCCTCCGTCGAAGTCCATTTTGTTGGTGAAAACCTTGTGTGCCCTGTTGGTTGTGAAGTACAGGTTGCTATAAGTGTCCAGGGAAAGGGCGTCCGTCCACTGCATGGTCTGCCAGTTCTGAGCCACAGGGACCTGGGTCTTCATGACAACCTCACCTTCCAGCACACGCTGGGATATTACGTCAGCTTCCATGTCCCATCTGGAGAATGAGATGATTTGTTTGTTTATTAGACATAAACCTTAATTATAGTACGATGAGAATAGTTGTAAGTGCTGCTGCCTCTTTTGTTTCACTGCACAAAGTAAGGTACAATCGTGGTGAGACGTTATCTGTCTTGGCTCGCTCGCTCTCTCTCTCTCTCTCTCTCTCTCTCTCTCTCTCTCTCTCTCTCTCTCTC